GTGCCGCGCACCATTAAGCGTCGTCCTCCACAGGGAACTGCCTGCCGCGCACCATTGCGCGACGCTGTCGTCAATGAGTTAAAATATAAGATTAACTGTGAAGACTGCAGCAAAGAAAATTTCAATTACAAACATTTAAAGGCTGTCCCAGCAGATTTTGCTTTCATGTAGATCCCGAATTTGAGCTTAGAACGAGGTGATAAGACTGATAACGTAGCGTTTACCCATTTTCCAAAAGGCAACTTGGAGGAGAGTATCAGCGCGAAGTTGAAAGGCCCTGGCCTGAAAACTCGGGCGCTTGTAATTTTTGCTCTCGATAGCATGTACAATGCGGGAGCGGTCGTGGGGTCCCGCACCGAACAGATGAGCGAAGCCGTTCAAGCGCGCGCCAGTTTGAGGGCTTTCATCTCGATATAGGCAACATCAACCAGCACTAGGCCTTGGAGTTTGGTGGGGCGACTGAAAACCTCATCACAACTATATTCCACAGGGTGCGAGTTTGCTGTGAAACTGCCTCTAATGAGCAACAAAGCAGTGCCATCACACTAACTGCATGGTTCATTAAATTCAACTTAGAAAAAATCAGCATAACAGGCTTATTTTGAAAACACTCACACGCTGAAAAACCTATGATAAGAAGTATTCGCAATTTCCTCTCAAAACCTAACTCTAAACGACTAAACAGTGGATGAGTCATTATTTTGGAAGGTATTACTGAAGTTTCACGGCGCGAGAAGCGTTTTCTTGTTTTGGCGTTTTCGTTTCAGCGCGTGAGCTCGGCTTGGGGAAATTCTTCTAATTTTGCTACATGGTCCCTCCACTTTTAGTGTTTCTACTTCCACAAGATGCTAACTTTGCTCCTGCATGACAGCTTTCCGAGTGAACTGCAATGGGAAAGATAATCTAAATTTGAGTACTTGTGCCTATGCCTACATGCGTGCAGTCTTCTTGCGTATTTTTACTCAACACAGTTCGTAGCACAACTAAAGCATAGGGTACTGCCAGACGGTGAAGGGTGTGTTTGCGGCCATTGCTCACGGAATGCCACAAGGCCTCAAATTAGTTAATCAACCTTCATACTTTCAATTGCTTCGGTTAATGAAACCTAGTATCTGATACCAGAACAGCGTTCGACAGCAGAAAGCATGAGGAAATTCTCTGCCTGGACGCTGCCTTTAACTGAGTTTCGCAACTTTTCCATATTTTCTACTTTTAGTACACTTAAACATGGGGATGTTTAGAATATATTATGTGGTTTGAGAACGGGTCTGGGTCTGCAGGTACAGCGTTTGCTCCAAAGTCTGGCAACTTGTGTAAGAGTTGTGCGGTCGGTATAAGGTGAAAAGAAAAGAATTTACGGACCGTACAGATCGTAACATCTCCGTTAAAACTTGGTCTATGGGAGTTCTTCGACGCACTACGATAATCGTACTCATTCTGCAAGACAATGCATTTTTGATAAGATTACAAAAAATTCTTAGTTTGACGAATGGTAGTCGTGTTCGGCATGTGAAATTACCCTGCACTGCAAGGTCTCGGCAAATTTGAGATTTCGTTCACTAGTCAATGAAAATGTCAGTACAGTAGAGTAGACTTCCTGCCTAATATAGTGTCCCTGCAAGCGCGACAACGTGGGGCATCAACAATTGCCTTGCGAGTTTCCGAGCTAGTGTTTTCCAAGGTTTTCTTTGCTTATTTCATGCTTTTTAGTTGATTACTTGCTGATAAAGAGGAAAAGGGTAACTTAGAGAGTGGTTTCTGTTTTCTGAAAAGTTCTATCATCGCATATTCACTAATATCCACGTGGAAGCACTTCGCGTCAGCTTCTTGTCTATTTTTTTTTTTGTCATTTCCTTTTCTTCTGTCACTTCTTCTTTCAAACCTCAGCTTCTTGTGAAGCGTTTCGTTGAACGCGAGTTGGCTTGTCTTGCAGCAACTTCGACTTTCATCCATAAGAAATAGCATTTTAATCCATTATTTCATGTGATAAAGACAATAAGTCAATCGTAAAAACCCAGCGTTCAAAGAAGTAGAAAGAAGAAAGAGACATGAAGTGACAAAAAAATAGACAAGAAGCTGACGCAAACTGCTTTCACTGGATATCTGTAATATGCGATGATAGAACTTCTCAGAAAACAGAAACTACTCTCTAACTTACTCTTTTCTTCTTTATCCAACGAATCACCCAAAAAGCATAGAATAGGCAAAGAAAACGCTGGAAAAACACTAGCTCGGGAACTCGTCAGGCAATTATTGACGCCCAAGCGTTGTCGCATCCGCAGACACTATATTAAGCAGGAAATCTACTCGACTGTACCAATTTTTTATACAGTGTGTTGATCAACTCCCGAGGGCGCCGAATCTCAAACAGTCTCCCAACTAACTTGCTTCTACAAAGCGCTTAAAGGCAGCGTACACCCAAAATTTGAGTTACCGAATTTCCTAGATCTTTCTACACCGTGTATATACTGGGCCCAGAAGAAGACCAACTGCGTTGGTCCGGTCCCCCAATGTTGCTTCTGAGCGGAGATAACCCCCCTCAATTTTCTTTCACGCCGCCCCTTTTCTTTCGCTCCGCCTCCTCCGAAAGAATCCATAACAGCGTAAGCTGCAATTGCAGTTGCAGTTGCTGTTGCAACATCTGTTGCATTTGTTTTGGGTGTACGCTGCCTTTAAAGACCCAATCTTTGACGACTTTGTTTCAGTTCTGGTTCCATACAAATAGTCCAGGCTGCGTTGAAAAATGTTTCAATTATTCTATTTTGTTATTGAAAATCAAACAATCTGTGCTCACTTATAGCACACAATGCAAGTTGAATAAGGTCGAAGCTTGAGCGCGCCATATTCAAAGGGAAAAAAGTCATGAGGGAAATTGCGAAAATTAATATCGTGGAGTCGCGACCTAGTAAGCGAGCAGACACATCATGAATAGATACCAGAAATGTAGAATGGTAGGAGTGGGGGTGAGGGTCATACTCGACCCGGCTAAAGGAGGGGGGGGGGGTAGCCGTATCTGCCCGCCCTGTGTCACACCTCTTGCTCGATTGAAAAGAACTTGATTAAGCTCTGAAAAGTGGAAAATAAAATCACACGGAAAAATGATGCTGCATCTCGCGGATAGCGCGCTGATCAGCTGTTGATATTGGTGGTATTTGGCATGCAAATCAACGCTTAATATGACAACTGCACACCTCGAACGTGTTTCACGCCTGGTCTCGTGCCGGTGATGATCGACTGCATGCATCTCGGCACACTTTGATAGTCGTAGTGATAGGTACAAGGCGGGTATGCCGAAATCAACCTTTATCGATTAGGGGCCTCGTGCATGTTATCTCCCTGTTGGGGAAAAATAGATAAAATCAAGTTTGTGTATGAAAGTCATGAAAATTGCGATTAACCATCGAAAATAAGAGTTTATCAAAAATCTGAAGAATACCCATTTGTTCCTATCAGGAAGAAGTTTAGCGCCGTTCGGCTAGATGAGAAGCACAACTTCGGAAGTTTTTACTGAAATCAAAGAAAGAAAAAGCTTTTCAGTTACCAGTTCTTTCTCTTCTTGGCTTTATGGCTGTTGTTGTTACTAGCATGTCGGTTTTCGGTCCGCATGGTCATTTTTCGGAGCCGAGTCCTGGTGTTCTTCAGTTGCAGCTCGATTCTGTAGCCTGATTTATTTTATTGGCTGTTACTAACTATAAGCATCATTAACTAACAACTGAACCAGCTCGGCTCATTCGTCAGAACATTTGTATTACCTTATTACCTTAACGAAGCCTAGTTTCCCATTTAGGGCACCCCAGATTGTATCCGCCTAATGAAGTGCCATCTGCAGTAGTTGGTAGATGTTTACTCTGCCACTCTTAACCTGAATCTTGCTTCCTCTAAAATAAATCTCTAATAGGGTCAGGTCAGCTAGCCTTACCGGCGGGCTCGTTGACACCCAAAAATCGGGCATCTTTGATTTTAGAGTTTGCAAGATTCATGCGATTGCTTTTGATCAAGTTACTTTCTTTCAACTTTACAAGCTGGGTCTAGAGCTTCGTGTTCCGTTTTATTCCTTATGTCTTTTATCTTCTCTTGCGGATAAGGACTGGCTGGTCTCATTGTTTGTTTGGATCTTCTTTTTATTTATTTCTCACTAGTTGACTTACCCGGCTCCGCCCGGCCCTGTCATTATTATATTCGTAATCAGCATGCTCGATTACCCCCCCCCTATTACTCCCAGCCCCGTAGCTTAAATTTTGCAAAAAATCGATAAAATCGATATCGATCGATGGCGAAAAGTAGCCTATGACACCCGCCGGGGCCCGAAGTGTATGTGTGCCAAGTTTGGCCCGGATCGGTTCAGAAATGGAATTTTCTATTCGGAACATACGTACACACAGACAGACAGACAGACAAACAGACATTCAGCTTTATATATAAGATTCGGTGCACCTCGAGTGTATTTATAAAAATTTAAAAAAGGCTTTGAAAAAAAAGACGATTGGCAGTTTGGCATTTTCAGGGGTTCTCATAAATACTACTTTTCGCTCCTGCTTAATTGTTTATAGTGATTTGTGGTAGGAATACTTTAAATTGCACTGCATGAAAATCAGAACACTTGGGCTTCAGAGTAGGGAGATTTTTAAAGCTGCTTTCCCCCACACCGGAGATGTTAATGCATGCGACCTAAATTGGTTGCCTGGGTAAGACATGAGATACGCGCTCGTAGCGCGGTATCGCGACCTAAGAGCTTTACTTTAACGCTAATATCTCGCTGTTTCTGCAGCGTGCACAATATGATTGAAGCAAAAATTGAACTCTATAATAGACAAAAGCGACAATGGTGAAGTAGCGACAAAAGCGTACCTAAATAATGCTCCATATCAAGAAATCTCACCGCATTATTTACTTTAGTGATCAACTTCGAGCAGAAAAATACCTAAAATACAGTTTAAGAATGTAGTTTACCAAAATAGCAACCACGCACGTCTATCTGTAACACAAAGATTTAAATTCAGAGGCACACAAAGGCGAGGAAAGACCAATCTATGTTCGACTAACAGGTAGATTCAGAGGTAAAGCGTATTATGGACCTTTAAAGAACACACCTTATCTGTGTTCTAGAACTGCTGTACCTTATGAAGAAAGTCAGTCCTTGAGAGTCAAAGTATGAAATACAATTCATTCTTTAGCTTATGCGGAATTAGACGAAATTATGCAAAAGCTTGGATTCACAACAGTGGTAGTCAAGAACAAACAAGGAAATAAACGAACATTTGTGAATTTTGGTACAGTACATGCCGTCGAATCAGAAGAGTTCAAACCTGACTTTGCGAAACTTCATGATATGTGCAGTGTTAGTTATCTTTTATGTACAACTTATCTCTAATGCACTAGATTCCTCTTTGCACGAGATGGCTTTATCATCAAGAGTATATTTACCAAGTTGTACTAACACGAAGCGAAATACATCAAAGGCAACGATTTATTAGCAAAATGTTCATTCAATGATCACGACAGTTCAATTAACGAGATGGTACATTAAAGCTAATGCCTTTTCTCACTACCCAATCAGTGATCGATATATATGAACTAGGATAAGAAACTTAATTTTTACAGTCAGTTTGCTATCTTTTACTGTCCTCCTTTTCCACATCAAATTCGGCATATACAGCTAAAAGAATTTCTTCCCTTTTATAAAATGCTGCTACTTGTAATGCTGATATTTTTGAAAAAAGAATTCTGGCCTGTGATTAATATTTCGACTTCCAAAACTCATCTAATTTCTTCGTTATAACATTGTATACCTTGTATGGTGTTACAGTAAAATCTACGTCTTCTCGTGCGCACGCTGTAAGCTTGAGTCTGCCAAAACATTTTTCAAACTAGGACGCGCATAACTTGCAGAAGCTTGAATTTAAAACCCGTTTTATACGTATTGTTTAGAAGAAGCGACATCCGACTATTACTTGCTCTGATATCTGACCTTTTTCCAAGCAAGAATTAGCTCATAGATTTGAGCGCCTACATACAGTATACAGCGCCTTAAAGTTTAAAAAATCAAAGTTTTCGCCTGTTTCGAAACGCAGTCAGTGCGCTGAACAAGAGCTTGAACTAATAGTAGTATAAGGTTGCCAGTACACATGACCAAAATATCGTTGATTGACAATTACTTGTGGTGTAATGTGGAATACACAAATATCTTAATCTTAATCTGCAGAACTTTTTTTATTAACCAAATAAATAGTACCCTAATTTCATGCGTATAAGGCGCACTTTCCGATTTTTCAAGCGAGCCGCTCACCGCTTCACTGTATTCCGGAAAGAGGTTTTTGTACCGCACGATTCTTTTAAGCAATATACAGCGCCTTAAAGTTTCCTTGGTTGTAAAGTTCCTTGGCGTGTCTGGGCTGGTCGATTTTGAAAAAAATCCCCCGCGCCTTATACGCGTGAAATTAGGGCACTTACCACGTCTCCTTAATGATGCAGTTGATGATGCAGTTGCAGATGTTGCCTGACGGGTACACTGCTTCACAAGAAGATTTCGAAAGTGCTGAGGAGTACAAGAAGGTGCTTGAAAAGGTACACCTTAATCTTCTTTTCAAGTTTGTTTGCAGCTGACTAATCCAAACAGACTCATCAAACTAAGCGGCAGGTATCTAATATTGGTCATTGCCAATTGAAATTCGCTCAGAGTTTGAGTATGCAAAAACTGATCCGAAATATTATAAAAACAAATTTTCTGTTATCATCCTACTATAATAACGCTCTAAGAGTGTTTACGTGTTTTTGTGTGTCTGTCTGTCTGAATGTCTGTCTGTCACGAAATTCGTAGAGCGTGTTCCAGCCAACGTCCTGAGCTCAAATTTTGCATAGCACCTGTTACTGGCATGGAAGTTAACATGCAAAAGCACAAGCAGATTCTTTGAGTGGGTCTCTTAAAAACTGCGCGTCAAACGGATCCACTTTGCAGTTGGCTCACAAATTTGGGTCCGTACTTCCACTTTTTGCAGAGTGGTGGATGTTTATGGCAAGTAAATGTGCAAGCCATGGACTTAGGCCAAAAAAAGTGATCAATAGTCCATTACTTTGCAACAACGGCGCCAAAAAGTATTGGTTACGTAAATGTTCAATTTGCCAAGGTTTTACCAGAGCATTTGAAGAGATTTTTGCACAAAATGTAGCTCACGGTGCTCACTGTTCTTATGACGACTGTCAAGACCATGGAATAATCGAAAAGCTATAAAATTTGAGTTGTTCCCCTGCAAAAAGTTTTATCTACGCAAAATGACATTTCACATGAGAAAGCCTTCGAAATAAGTAGTTGTTTACAATTTGTTCGTGATACTTGGCATAGCGCGGTGAGTTCCAGTGCCACAATTTTACGAGAATGAGTAAGGTACATAGATAGTAGGGCCAGTGCGAGCCTCTGCGAAGCAGAGGTGAAGCACTGGTAACTTATAATAACGGGCTAAGGTTGTTTACGTGTTTTTGTGCGTATATCTGTGTGTCTGTCTGCAACGAAATTCATAGAGCGAGTTCCAGTCGATGTCCTGAGCCCAAATTTTGCATAGCGCATGCCACCAGCGTAGAACTTCACCATGCAAAAGCAGGGGCGGATTCGTTGAATCGGTACCTCAAAATTTGCGCGTCGGGAGGATACAATTGGCTTCTGGCCCGCAAAATTGGGTCCGTATCAACGCTTTTTGCAAAGTCGTGGATATGTTTGGCATGCTGATGTGCAAATCATGGACTTTAGACCAGAATGTGACCAATGGTACTTTACGAAAGCGACGCCAAAAAGAAATGGTTGCGCAAACGGTCAATTCCCGATGGTAATAATGGACTAAGGGTTGTTTACGCTGTGTGTGTATGTATGTATGTATGTGTGTGTGTGTGTATGTGTGTGTGTGTATGTGTGTGTGTGTGTGTGTGTGTGTGTGTGTGTGTGTATGTATGTATGTATGTGTGTGTGTATGTGTGTGTGTGTATGTGTGTGTATGTGTGTGTGTGGTGTGTGTGTGTGTGTGTGTGATTTTTTTCTTTTTATTCTCTATCAAAAGGTTATGCTTTTATTGCAGTATAATAAAATAACTCCCAGAAAGCTACAAATGACAACTACACACAAGTTTCGCTATTTTTATCAAATTTTTATACCAACCCTCCGAACACGTCCAAGTGAAGCATAGAAAGTGCAATCCCTTTTAGACACAGAACCCTTTTTTCTCTATCCTACCTGGCTGTATGAAATTTCCAAAATTATTTTTTGAGGCTATTAAATTCCGTGTTTGCTCTCAAAGTTCATAGAACAACAGCCGGCGAACAGCTAAGGTGTCATTTGATGCGCTTTTTCACTTCCTTTGAGTGTTGCTTTTTATTTTTGAAGAAAAAGTCAGCGGGGAGTAAGTCAACACATTTCTTGTTTCTATACCCGTTCCAAGCTGTACGCGGAAAATTCGAGAAATGGCATTCCCAAATTGTGGAAGCTCATTTGCAGTGAAAAATTAGTGGTAATCATAGCTCACTTTTGGAAGTTCCAAATTTTCAACATATATTGGTGTTTGACGCGTTTATGTCTGAGAAAGGCGTACCCAAAATTCGGTAATTTTGCTCAAAAATCATAAAGAATTTTTGATGGACTCTGGAAAAGGAGAACAGTTTTTCTGCGACATATGGGGTTTGCTCTTTCAATCCGTTACTTTGACTTCTTCGGAGCATTAAAAAAACCTCGGAAGAATAAGGAAACTTGACCTTGAAAAAGAAATTTGTTTCGTTTCCAGATTTTGTACTGCAATGGGATAGCCATTTGATAGAGAATGAAAAGGTGTTAAGGATTTACAGAGATCTTCTATAAATGTTTGCTCTGCGGATTGTGGAATCTTTGCGAAAAAACGAAAATACCTTTGGGACCACCTAATGAACCACATTAGATACCCTCGAGTCATATGTAACTTAATATGTGAGACTGCACAGTAAGCCCTATTAGCGAGAGCACCCATACTAGTAACTTCCCAGTACAACAGTCATTTTCCAACCTAACAAAATGTAGAAATTCTACTGACTGGCATATAACCAACTAAAACAATAGAAACAAGGAGACAAAGAGAAATCACTGGAAGTGAGCAGGTTCTAGTTTCGCAATTCGTCAGTTAGCGTGTATAGTGTGCACTACGCATATTGAGTCAAAAATGACTCAACGATAAATTTATAAATACTGTTATTTTTTCCTTTGAAAACTGGAAAATAAAAGTTTCCGTGTTTTCATTGAGACGATGCTGTGCTGTTTCAGAAACTAATTGTATACTACGAATTTAAGGAAGTATAACCGTAAATTTGTGTCTCTCTACAACCTTTGGTTTCCGAGAAATTATAATTATGTAAACACTATCCAGACATATAGGTACGCCGTCGCCGTATTTTTTCCTCTGTTAGAAATCAAGAAAACGGAAATTTTCATGTTTTTACCAAAGTGATGCTGTGCCATCCCCATATAAGTAGATGTATACTACAAATCTGTAGAAGTATAAACTTGGACTTTCGGCTCTCTACAAGCTTTAGTTCTTAAGAAATATCAAATATAGCCTTAATTAGTCAAGTGGCCAAGCTAAAATTCAAATTTCTCGAGAACCAAAGCTTGTAAAGAGCTGAAAGTCCACGTTTGTAATTCTACAGATGTGTAGTATACATCTACTTATGTGGGTATGGCACAGCATCACTTTGGTAGAAACATGAAAATTTCCGTTTTTTGATTTCTAACGGAATAAAAAATACAGCAACGGCCTACATATATGTCTTATGTGGATAGTGTTTACATGAGCAAGTTAGAATTTTTGTAGGGTTCTTATGAACAGAATTATGATTTTTCTCGATTTTTCGGGCAGTTAAATCCTTTTAGTTTTTGGCCCGAAACTCGAGGTAGATTAGAGCTGTTGCTAAAGCATGATTGCCATCTTGTAGAGCTTGCTTTGCTCTATCGAATGGTACTTTGAAGCCCATTCAAGAATGAGGAGTGTTTGACTTATTGTGGTTGAAACTCAAAACGGACATTAATTTCCGTATAACCTAATACTTCATTTTTCAAGCATTTGAATCTTGTATTTTTTGGCTAGAATCTTTGGTGAATCAAAGTTCGTACAAATGTTCGAGAACCATCCTGTGAAACTTATTTTGCTCTCTCAATTACTGGTTTGATAATTGATAAAAAGTAAAAAATGTATGACTTAGTGAGGTAAAGAGTCAAAGGTAACAAAAACTTATGTCAGACTAATTGAAACCTTTGGAAGCAGCACCGTAAAAAATCTTTTTCCTTTATATGCATTCGTGATCAGAATATCAATTTTAGCGCAAAAACCGAAAATGGCGACGTTTCATATTTTTGGCCTGTTTTTTGTCTTGACCTTTAGTCTCGTACTTATGTATTTGACTATGTATCATATATTGGCCAGGTAAAAAGTTTCCACGTTTTTTTCTGATGGAGATCCGATTTTTGGGTCGAATGCTTTCCAACGATTTTGGTTTCCAACTTGAAGTAGGTCGCGATTTCCGAAAAAAAGTCAATTGCTTGTGAGAAAATGAGGTCGACAAATGTCAAGCTGGGAATTGTTTTGGATGGAAAGCAAAGAGGATGGGATGAAAAACATTTGCATGTACATACACTTCTGGACAAGTTTCTACACGATTTATATGCAAAATCTTGCCATGAACACCTGGAAGGACATGCAAAGTTTCTGTACTTAGGTGTACTTGAAGCGGTGGCAGCAAGGTTCCAAGAGAATATTAAGGGATTCGAATTGCTGATAGCATGCGACTCAACCGCAGCAAGGTTGAAGGCGTTTACAGCTTTCAGGCATATGCTGTTAAGCCGAATTGAGAATTATCTGAATTCTGTTAGAATTGGAAGCAGCACAGCCAGGCATGCAAACCCTCAATGTAACATTGAAAAGAGATCACTGAAGTACGCGCAGATAGTCCTCTAGAATTTGACATAGTTATTTGGGTACTTACTCTTTTAGAAGTACTTATCGGCGCGCCCTCGGGATGGCGTGGCTCCGTGGGTGATTTGGGGGTGCTCGCTATCATTGTCTGGCAGTGGCGGTCCAAGAAATTTTTTTCGGGGGGGGGGGGGGCGTGACAAAAAATTTTTTCTAAAGAAGGTGCGTGGCTCCGAAAAAATTTTTGGGGTGCTTCTCAAAATTTTTGCGGGTCCCCGACCCCTAAAATCTGGAAAAAGGGGGCGTGGCGTCAGCCACGCCTTCGAAAAAAAATTTTTTATAAGGCTAAAATGAATTTTTAAAAAATTTAAAATTTTAAAAATTATTTTAATTATTTTCAAGTGCAAACAAGTCGTTTGCACATTTTTACAACCCATATAGGTAAGTGCGCGCGCCCCCCCCCCCGCCCCCCCCCCCTCGGTCCGCCACTGTTGTCTGGGTATATAGCTTTGTATCTGCCATAACTGATTGCATCACAGCCGAGTTACTTTGTCCTAAACATCTCAAAATTACAACGTTAGTCATTTATGTGTAATCACAAGCCAATGTCCTTTTCTTTTTGCTCATCTTTATGATAAATCGACTACAAGCCTTAGCTACAAATTCGAAAAAGCTTCTGAACCCCTGTATGCTCAAATCGTAAAAAAAATCGAGCAAAATCAAACTCAATTTTTCCTCCTATTACCTTTGTACGATTGTATCCAAATTATAGTAGAAGCAAATTCTTCTTTCAGCTTGGACCAATGTGGATGAGGAGTACTGTAGGAAGGTCAAACTTGTTCATGTTGAAGCCGGACCCGAGTTGCAAAAAGGACCAGCTTTTCTCGAAAAACAGAAAACAATGGAGTTACGTTGACAATACGAAGAAACACTATGTAAGTCCAGACAGCTTTGCTTACAACATGAATCGGTCAAGATGACATAAACCTGAAAGTCGAGAATCTGGGTAGACGATGCCTTCAAGGCTCGGAGGGGATTTGAGGAGGAGAAGCGTCATCTTGCTAGTCTACATATCTTTCTTCTTCTTTTTCTATCTTGCTTATGAAGTTTCTCATACACTGATACATGCGCATAACGGATGCCGGCTTACTATCATACAAGATTAGAAATTCACTATTTTGTCTGATCCCCTGGGGATTCCGCGGGGATCACCTCGCATATTCAAAGTCATTTATTATCCTGAGAACTTAATGAAAATGCTCTAAAATTGTACTGAGGATATACTACAGCAATGCTAAACATGCCTATGGTAGAAATGAGTGAAATCTCAAGATAACAAGATTTTCGGTGAACCGCTGCTCACGGGCCATGGATTATCGAAAAATTCAAAATCTTCAGATTCCATTTCTTCTGTCGAAAACATGCTCAGCAGTATCGTAGTACAGTGCTGGACATAATTATAGGGACACTCTAGAAATCGTCGTAATTTTCGTTCTTGTCAGTGAATCTGTCGGAAACTTTGCTGTATGGTGCGCATGTAAGTCTACCATAAATCCTCAGAACGGCTTTCAATCCCGTTGATTTCGAACGGAGAAAAATGGAAAAAATCGAAAAGGCCTGTTTTGCAAGCTGGACATAATTATAAGGACACCTGGCCTTTTTAAACATTATCGCATTTCTTGACCCCCAAATTTTTTTGTTGAGTTACATCCCAGAATTTGAAACTTTTGCAGCACCTAGGACCTGTCATGCTACTCAAGGAAAGATGATCTTGCATTTTTCGTTTCCAAAGGCATCAGAAGTCAAACTGCGTCAACAAACAGCTGGTTTGAGGAGTCTTCAAGCCGCGTTCATTTCAAATGGCAGTCCTGGAATACACTTAGCCTTTTCGATAGATAAGGTGAAGAGCGCTTTCGTAAACTTCGCATAATCGCTGATTTTGACGGACAGACTCCAATCTCAACATAGGGTTGTCGCGCTTTTAAACCACAAAACTCGATTTTCAAGTTACAGAAAACGCTGCAATGTAGCCGCAACAATACACGTACAACAATAAACTTGTGTGCCTAGTCGGGAAAAAATTTCGGGGTTGCACATTCTGATTCAGCCGCAGTTATCATCCGTTGAGGGTTGAGTAGAGCACCCTGCACAATCACATCCAACTCAAATCAAGAAATTGAACAGGAGAGCGCTTGAAACTTCAAAATCTTAACTAATCTCACCTACCGCGTAAAATGCGACATGAAACAGAGAAGGAAATAGTGAGATTTGTGATTGTGTTGAATCTACTGCTCGCAGAGAATTTTCGTGGAAAGTATTTCAAATCTAAATGTCAATTGCAGCACTAGAAAAAATCTGGAAGTTGTTGCAAAAGCTGCGTTTCCATGTAGACAATATAATAAATCAAGTCCATCATTTCACGAACATTGGAAAGTGAGTTTTGTGGTTTAAAAGCGCGACAACCCTATGTTTAGGTTGGAGTCTGCCCGGCAAAATCAGCGATTACGCGGAGTTTACGAAAGCGCTCTTCACCTTATCTATCAAAAAGGCTAAGTGTATTCCAGAACTGTCATTCGGGCTTGAAAACTCCTCAAACCAGCTGTTTGTTGACGCAGTTTGACTTCTGATGCCTTTGAAAACGAAAAATGCAAGGATCATCTTTCCTTAAGTAGCATGACAGGTCCTAGGTGCTGCAAAAGTTTCATATTCTGGGATGTAACTCAACAAAAAAATTTGGGAGTCAAGAAATGCGATAATGTTTAAAAAGGCCAGGTGTCCTTATAATTATGTCCAGCTTGCAAAACAGGCCTTTTCGATTTTTTCCATTTTTCTCCGTTCGAAATCAACGGGATTGAAAGCCGTTCTGAGGATTTATGGTAGGCTTACATGCGCACCATACAGCAAAGTTTCCGACAGATTCACTGACAAGAACGAAAATTACGACAATTTCTAGAGTGTCCCTATAATTATGTCCAGCACTGTATATCTTCAGTACAATTTTGCAGCGTTTTCATTGATTTTTCAGGAGGATAAATGTTTTGAAAATGTGATTATGCGCAGGTATCAGTGTATGAGAAACTTCATAAGCAAGATAGAGAAAGAAGGAGAAGCGCATACGGGCCTAAGAAATGTATCCTGAATTCTGGCGAAAATTTCACAGAAACCTTCTTTTTAACAAATAAAGGCTATGAAAACCCAAATTCTCGGTTTCGCTGAGATATTTCAAAGATATTATTTCGTGTATTTGCTTCATTAGCAATCGTTTCGATATAGTTAGGATAATAACATACGGGGCTTCGCCTCGAATGACGTCTGTTCTTTTCCAGGTAGAGGTTGTGTCCCCTAATAGCCCGCAAAGTAAAGGTTACCAGAGTACGTGGCTCTATGTATCGAGGGTACGGTCCCGAACTCAACTGTTGAAAATTGGAAGAAAAATTCAAAGAGCTCAAAATTTTTGCTCATCCTTATACCATGTGTTTTATGATAGCGCGAGGTAACGGGAAAAACTTTTAGAACATCCTATTATCTAAACTCAGCTTAAACCACTGATTTAAAATATGCTGCTTCTAGCTGCCGCGCATCATTTTCGAGCGAATTATGGCTTTCATCTACGTATGATTGTCATATTATTTACATAAGAGACCAGCTTGTACGTAGAATTTGCCAAATATACCCTTACTCATTCTCGCGTAAGAAGGGATTGAGACTTGTCGAGCAATACTTCTTATCACGAACGGATCGTAAACAACAACTCATTTTGAAAGATTTTTCATGTGAGATTGGCAATTTTACGTGGATAAAACATTCCGCAAAAAAACGTGCAAATTCAACTAGTTTGAATTTTTTGCTTGATGATCGTCATAAGGAAAACAATTACCGTGAACTTCATCCTTTTGCAAAAATCTCCTCGAATGCTCAAGTAAACCTTGGCGAACACACTATCTTCTACACAAAAGTCTTTTTGAGACTGTTTTCGTGAAGTAGGCTTGTTTGCTACAAAATTTATACATTCTCATAAGTGCATCTATTTGAAAAATTTCAGGATGTGAAAAGCGACATGTGGTGTCAAGCTTATCCCGATAATATGTGTGCGGACACATCACGAATTACCGCTTTAATGAGTGACTGTGGATATACCGATGCACCGTCCATCGCTCGCCGTCCTATCATATGTGGAACAGGTCTGTTTTCTATCTTGAACAAAAACAGGGCCGGTAGCAATCTACCTATTTAATCATCCTTGATGCCGCCAAGTTGGCACACATCGCGGGAAGTTGCCAACTCCGGCGGCATCTCGCGGATTGCTATTAGGTTTTGGTAAACTTATATAGTCTTGATCTGCAGTCCCTATTCACATGAAGTTTTGACGACTCAGACAACCGCAAAACAGCGACACCAATCGCTTTCGAACCCGCGTGCATCAATTTCCAGTGCCGCCCTAACTACTCGACCACGCGACTAATTTATCTATGTTTGCGGCAGCAATTACAGGAACTTACAGTCAGTGGCGCCTGTAAGAGGGCATGATCAATACTTTGCGCGATAGACGTTGACCTGGAAGAACAACTGAGTGATATGAGCACGAGAGAGCCAAAATCATTGCAAACAAGATTTAAAGGATTGCGAAAAGAAGATGACTTTCTTTTTTGTTCTATAAGATTACTAGACATCTCTTCTACATAATTAGCAATGATTTGAACGAGAAAAACTTGTAAAACGAAAAAAAGAATGGTGGTTTTTTATGGAAATCGAATTCTTTTGGTTCCTCCGCTTGACGTAAATTGTGTGATATTGCCGCATTACCCAATTTCACAGACGCCGCCAGCAAGGTGCCACCACCTCGACATGGTAGGACACGTCGGGATGGTGGCACCTTGACCTCTAAAAAAGCACGCTGTTTTTCGCACTTTCTGACCTGGCGGTCTCTCAGGGCTGAAATTTCGACGAGATGCCGCCAGGTCAGCTCGCGAAGCTGCCGCCAGCACTTCCTTCCTTCCTCTACAATTCTGTTTAGGGAGATTTTCAGAACCGTTAGTTGCCAGGTAAAGTTCCCTAAAGTCACTATGACCTCCTCGACCAGAAATACGTTTTGAAAAGGGTTGAGAGTGCACAAATTCGAGCTCGTTGTTTACGATGATCTCACGTAAAGATGCCGGCGACTTGACGGCACATGCCGCCAGGTCAGGGGGAGTACTAAGGGCCCAGGTAACGGTGTCACGATCTTCCAGTTTTCTTTGTTTCGCATGTGCGATGATTCTAATTTCGATCTGCTTTGAATTCAACATCTTTTCTATCAGTCGTACCCTCCTGTATATGTTTTATATGTTATGTTTCTATTCAGCTGAGTTAACTTTTTTTAATTCTTTCATTTTTCATTTGCAAGGGTCTGCGTTTTTGTGGGTGCGAACTTGCAGAACTATGGTGCAATCTCTGCATTGACTGGCTAATGCATAGTGAATTACATAAGCTTGATGTTTTCATATCAAAGGCAGCTTAGGATTGGATCCTTCTCGTTTGTAGAGGCAACAGTGAAAGTGGGAGAAGTAACTTGTGAAAGCGTGGGAAGTTGGGTGCTAAAGGCTGTCAGCCAGCAATAGAAAGGTGGCTTGTCCCTGAGCCATTGCATTTTTGCAGCATTACGAAATAGAGGTAGTTTTCGTATTGCCGAAAATGCGTATCGGAACCATAGTCAATACTGGGTTATGATCTTTTATGTAGATGATTCATGTGACTACCCTATTTCCAGGTGTATAAGGCTGCGTTCATACTGCCGAAGTTCGGGAACAGTTCCAGCACAGTGCTCGAATTGAGCGTTGTGCTAGAACTGTTCCCGGACTTCGGGATCAGTATGAACGCAGCCTAAGACGCACTCTTTCAAATTTTCAAGCGATCCGCTCAGCCATTCACAATGTTTCGGAAAGCGATTCTTACGCCACATGATTCTCTAAGCTCTTGGGCAGAGTTCACGCGATTTGACCGTCGCGATTCAATCGCTACTAAACAAGCGTTACGAGTTCATTGCATGCCGATCTTCTTGTGTTTCGGTTGTGATAGTTAGTCACGATTAGTCGTATTGGAGAACTATCACAACCGACATGCAAGAAGATCGGCATGCAACGATATTGTTACAGTTGTCTTGTCGCGATCAGTCTCGACGAACAAATCGCGTGAACTTTGCCCGAGGCCTAAGGCAATGTGTAGCATGATATGGGGTCGTTTGGTCGCGAAGTCTTCTGGCCTGTTTGGGCTGGTCAATTTTAGAAAAAAAATCCTCTGCGGCTTATACACCTGAAAATAGGGTAATGAATTGGCCAATCACTCCTTGGCCCGTAGTAATCCCCTCCAAGCTGGCGGCACTCGAAGCAAACACGTAATCAGTTCGTGTCGTCTTGGCCCCGGTTCATCGACTCTAACTCTTATCCGTCCCCGGATGAAATCGATGGCGATACTAGACTCTTCCATTGAATCGATTTGCTCACTTACATCTGAGAAAATGAAGCTTAACCTTCTGACTGATTTGTCCAAGATTGGTACAGATATTTATTCCACAAGAAACAGACTGACGTCTCGGCAAACTCGCCTTTTTCAGAATCTGAAAAGTTGAAAACAAATAAGTGAACTATCCGATCAAATACTTTATCGACTACAGGAAAGAGCCCAACCCTCTAGACAAGCAACAGTATCAACCAAAACGCAAGATTAAGCTAGTGCTCACCTTAACAGATGATAGATTTGGTGGGTGCAGACCACTTATGTCAAAAACTGTACTGCATTACTTTTATATTCATCTAGTGACCCGGTCCTGACCTGACCTCATTATTCAAAGGCCACAAAGGCTCTGATAAGGTGACAGCTCGTTAGTAATGGCTAGGAACTCATCCTTCCGGTTGATTTTTGGGTTTTGGGCGGCTATCCAAAACGCTTCGAGTGTCTTGCGCGCTAGGATTCCGGGTTCACGCGCCAGGATTCGAACCTGCACTCCCACCTCCCCGTCGTCATGGCTGAGCGTGCGATACAAATCAGTCAGAAGATTCAAACTATGCCAAGATTTATGGATAGTCGAACATGGATTTCGAAGCTCAACCTGCTCTAACCAATCAATTTGCCATGGCCATGTAAGGCGGTAAAGCTCATCTTAATATCAATGTTAAGTTAATGCGGCAGTTCGTTTCAAAGTGCTTTTTGCGCAAAGTAGAAGTTTGAAAGCGTACGTACGCACGTTTTATCAGCTGAACTGAACTCCCAAGCGGGAACGGGACCGTCAGCTAGTATATACAAGGTGTCCCAAAAAATGTGAACACCGTTTGAACGTTTTATCACGTTTGAACGTTGATAACTTCCTTGGTTTCATGTCTTTCACCGAGCTTAAGGTACCATTCTGCAAAGCGAATTTCAACCCAGGTTTACAGCATGGAACGATTTCCCGATTTTTCTTCGTTACTATAACATAACGGTAACTTCAGCATATAGCGCCACTGTGGAATAGGCCTTTGATAAAAAAAAATCCAAAAATCCAAACTTTTGCGTAGCAAGGTTTTCATGTGAAAAAACTTCGGAAAAACAGTCACTAACTTAAATCTGAATCAACTTACAGAAGAAGCATTTCAGTGAAGTGCAACTTTCCTATAGCGATGAAGAGCGATTAACGATTCGCTGTGAACTGTGAATCTAAGTTGAACATGCTCTACAAAGTGGCACCTCAAGCTTGGCCGAAGACATGGAAGCAAGAGAGTTATCAGGATCAAACAGTGTTCACAATATGTCGATCAAACAGTGTTCACATTATGTTGAGACACCATCATGACTTATAATAAGCGGCCTAATCTGAAGTTGTGTGGAGTTTGTCCGTTACGAAATTACAGTGAGGAATGATTTACGATACTAAACATCATGTGAGGTTAAGATAGCGAGTATGGTTCATTTTTAACCACGGCTCACTTTGCAATAAACCGAACAATGATTTGAGAACAAGCTCTCAGAAAGTGAGTTTACCACGGTTCACGATGCCAGTGCGAACCTCTGCGAAGCAGAGGTGAAGCACTGGTGTATATATAACTCAAAGCCTGTGAGGATGTTTTCGTTCGTTTGTTCCTACAGTGAAACTGTTCCCGAACTCCTAGATCAGTATGAACGCAGCCGAAACGCCAACCGTTGAACCGGTTGAGTTGGAACCTCGCACACATATGTTTCCAACCTCGGCGGTGGTTAGGGCTACTTTTCGCGGCAACACTGGGCCTTCGATTTATTGATTTTTAACCGTTGCCAGCAAAAATAAATGCTATCGACCACTATCAAATCGCTTGCACGTCTTGATGTGAAAAAATAGCAGAGAAGGTTTTCGCTCTCTCAGGCGGATGCGGTGCTTCCATAAAATGCTGTTTTGAGGTGGGCATTCGCAAAGAATGCACCATGCGAGCGGATATGAGCTGCCGAACCAGAGAAAAAGAGGGTGAAAGTACAGGATGAAGTAGATATAAGCGGTACAAAAGATGGAGAGGCGTAGCCTAATGTTTAAAGCACATTTTTCATGTGCTTACCCCATCCTTCCTCTGGTCGTGACCCATGAACCGGGCAAGACCGGGTATGTCAGCTAGTCATGCATATTTGCCGATTTGTTGTTCGTTAGGTGCATTTAATTCCCCTTCCTATATGGAGACCGTGTTACATCATGGCCGATCAAACGGCATATTTAGCACAAGTTGGCTTTCCCGGTCCAGCCCGGGCCATGGTTACCGCACTGAGAGCCCCTCCCCCCCACCGCCCTATATGGTATGGATGACTTACCCTGGGACGTCCGCTTGGAAACCGCATCCTCGTGATCTTGAGGTGAAAATAAGCTTCACCGCCCTCTTTTACCTGAGTATGGAAAATGCTTGATTGAACATGATAACCCTTCAATTCTTCAGGAAAATGTAAACAAATCAATAAATTGATAGAAGGACCCAACGAATCGCCGCAAAAAGTAGCCTATCATCTGCGCAAGGGTCGAAAACATATGTGTGCAAAGTTTCAGCTGAATCTGTTGAGTGGCGCGCATTTCTATAACGCACATACCCTCCAAACTGACAATTTTTGAGTTTTATATATATATATATAGATTAAAGTAGAATAGGCGACTTTCAAACTCACTTTCACTTAAAAGTATAGCGGTCGAAACATTTGCGAACATATGAACACAAAACTTGCTGAACCTCCATTGTAGAGTATTGATTTTCGCACTCTCGAGCTATCAAAAACAACCACGCGTATATGTCATCAAAATTGGCAATGCTCCGCCTTCTACGCTCTTGAAAATTGACAATAAGTGTCTTACAATATTGCTCAGTTCTTTCTATGCCACAACAGGTTTTCAAAGCAACAGCTTAATGTGCCTAACGTTTCGGCGGAGATGCCTTCCTCAGAGGGCTGGAAGTGAGTCAGTCACCTTCATCAAACGCATTATACCATCAAACGCTTCGTCAACTCGTACGTCTAAACTTGTCTATTTCAATTGCAGTATAACAAGGGAAGGAAGGAAGGTTGGTCGAAGTGGCCTTTCAAGAAGTGATGGATAACGTCTTGTAGGGCTCCGAACGCTGGTTTCAAATCTGCCTTCCTCATCTGCGGCGCATTTGGGGGCGAGGAGTTATGAGGTTTTAAAGGTGAAAGTCGACGCAAGCGCAATCAGAACGGCACAGCGCTATCTGCGGTCTGGTATAGTGATTAGTATGGTGGTCTTGCAGGCCGAAGCTACCAGGTTCGGTTCCAGTGCCTTGGTTTCTATTTTGCTGGTTTTACAAAAATTGTACGAGCATGGGCATTGTCTATACACCAACCCTTCTTTCTTTCAATTGCATTTCTTTTAAAAAGTTTTATTACTCGATGTTTTCAAAGGTCTATGTGCACTGATGAAAGAGAGGAGTGCAAGACAAAGGCATTTTTCACAATAAGAGCAACGAACGAAGACTATTTTTGGACATACCGAATGCTCCCCTATTGAATTAGAAGGGAACCAAAACTGTACCGGCGCTTCAGAATCTCTTAGATGTGCATCAAAATGGCCGCTGGCGTACCAGGAATAAGCCAAGGAATTTTTGAAACGCGGTGCAGTGAAATGATGGTAAATCAATGATAGAACCTTTGATAAAATCGCGAGCATAAACAACATAATGCAGATTATAAATTAGACATTTTTACCTCCATTCCAAATCACTTGCAGAGAACTTCAAAGAAAGCAGTTATTGCCTTGGGATTTTGAAAAAAGAAGGGGTGGTATATTGACGATGCCCATGCTCGTACAATTTTTGTAAGACCAGTAAAATAGAAACCAAGGCATTAGAACCGAACCTGGTAGCTTCGTCTGCAAGGCCACCATACTAACCACTACATCAGACAGCACATAGCGCTGTGCCGTTCTGATTGCACTTGTGTCGACTTCCGTCCCCTAAAAACCCTCGTAATTCCTCGCCCCAGAAACGAGCCACAGATAAGGAAGGCAGATTTGAAATCAGCGTTTGAAGCCCTACAAGACGGTAGGTATCCATCGCTTCTTGAAAGGCCATTTGACTTTCTTTCCCTTGTAAATTCAAGCTGGGGCTTAACTTACTAAAAGTTCCAGAGGAGAGCACAATAGAAGCTCTCTAGGTTTCCTACAGTGTACCGTAACAACAAATAGTCCAACTGGTTTGGACACGTTTGCATCCCTGTAGGCTACTGAAATCACAAATGAGAACTGCGTTAGACATTTGTAACAGGCAACCGTCCATTCTTGCTATTCATTTTCGGATTATGATTAAGAATGGACGCAGTTTATGACACCTTCCGAGCAGAGATGTTATCCTCGTTGAAGTAATATTGCAACTTAATTCAATGTCTTCGCCGCCATAATCTTCTCTGTGCTTCCAACGGGTTCTCAGGCATTATCTCCATTTGCTGGCCTTTCTTTGCTCTATGAACATCGCAGACATTCTTCATCGAAGAGAGACCACACGATGGTTAGCTAGCCTAACTTAACAGGTTATGTCAGCAAACAACGCTGTACACATTGAATGTTATCGGAAAGAGAGCAACAAGACATCATCTGAGAGCCACTCCGCTCTCCCGACTGTTATCCATAACATACGGCAGTGGGAAAGCTAGCAGTGTTGCAGCGGAGAAAGTGAGAGACTTGAGCCTTCAAATTAGCACACGACATAGCTTCCAGCAATGGATAGTCGCCGTAGCTCAGAGCCTCCAGGCGATCATACATGAACACAAGCAACCAAAAGCTTTCGAAATAAGTAGTTGTTTACAATTTGTTCGTGATACTTGGCATAGCGCGGTGAGTTCCGGTGCCACAATTTTACGAGAATGAGTAAGGCACATAGATAGTAGGGCCTGTGAGAGCCTCTGTGAAGCAGAGGTGAAGCACTGGTAACTTATAATAACGGGCTAAGGTTGTTTACGTGTTGTTGTGCGTATGTCTGTGTGTCTGTCTGTAACGAAATTCGTAGAGCGAGTTCCAGCCAACGTCCTGAGCCCAAATTTTGCACATTGCATGCGCCAACATAAGAGCCTGCCATGCAAAAGCACTAGTGGTTTTGTTAGGTGGATCCCTCAGAAACTGCGCGTCAAACGGAACACTTGGGTTCTGGCCAGCAAAATTGGTTCCGTATCACTACTTTTTGCAAAGTCGGGGGTGTGTTATCATGCTGATGTGCAAGCCATGGACTTTAGTTCAAAAAAGTGGACAAAAGTTTACTACTTTACGAGAACGACGCCAAACGAAATGATTGCGTAAATGGTTAATTTGCCATGGGAAGTTCTTCATTTTCCATTTTAATTATTTAAATCATTAAAAGGTAGCCATTTACTTTAAAGCATTACTAAAGGAAGCAGTTTGAGTGTACTACTTACATTCGACCCTTAACAGGGCAATGGTCCCAGCAATATGAGAGTGTTTATCAGGTAATGACATAATCAACTTCCCTGTAGGCAAAATTTTATCTCGCCACACCGTCAGTCGCTTCAATTATTGGAATTGTTGCCAACCTGTAGTTGGTTTCGCCAGTTCCTTTCGCTATTTTCCCATATCCGTCTTTAAAACTTTAGTTTGATGATTTTACACTGCATTCATGACTTGTTCATGCCAGAAAGACGAACTTTGTTTTGATAATGCTAGTTGCGGCTAGAAAATTAGTAAAAAGTAGGTGGATTTAAGTAAAAGCAGCTGAGATAAGCTCAGAAAAAGTGAGCGTAACTCAGCTGCAAATCTAGTTGCAGCACTGATCAGCTTGAGCAGCGCTGCCAGCGCTGCTCAAAAATGGCTCGCTAGGTATGGACATGACCTTTCGCGTTAGCTGCTGTAGCGCTAGGCAGGGGCGTCACTTCGCTGCAATCAATAGGCGCTAAAAGCGTTGCTGCCACCTCTACGTATAGACACCCTAAGTATGTATCAAGCCTACGAGTAACACATTCCGTTTCTTTGCATTTCTTCCCTTAAAGCCTAACTCGCGCATACAATTTACTGTTAATCAACGTGAGATTATGCGTAAAAAGTCCTACATTGTACAAAATAATCATCTTGAGCTGAAGTGTTTGCATCAATCCTACACCTCGCAACTGTTCTCATGCGCTTGCTTTTATTTTGGTTATAAATGTGAAAGTGCTCAAATATCCCCAAGGTGGTGGGTTTGATGACCCTTGCTGGATCAAAGTGATAGCCACCCATCCTTCACCAAAAAATTAGCAGCTTCATAGGTAAATGACGTTTACGTCCATAGCCTGCCTCCAATGTTGTCGACGAAACTAAATGGATTGCAGCTTTGAGTACTCTACAAAATGCACGTTGTAAACTCGTTTGATTAGTGCTCGAATGTGATTCACTTGGAGTCTCTTGCTTCGGGACTGCCACGCGTATAAGTTGCCACGTATGCCACGTATGCCTTGCCTCACGTGATGTATCGTCCTTCCCCACTCTATAGCGGGCGGAGCTTTGCCTACGTTTGCCAACGTATGCGCGTGGCAGTTTTTGGCAGCTAGAGAGCACAAAAACTAATGCTTTAGATTGGAGGTTCAACAAGTTTTTAACATGTTCAAATTCTGCACGGCCACGCCCGCTATACGCATGAGAAACGCCTATATCTAACTGCTCACTAGTATGTTCATACTTTGATTAGGAGGCAGCGCTTCAACTGCCGAAAAAAGACGAGGAAGCGTTCGAAAGGGAGAATCATGCAACAGAGGAGCTACATTCAACAAGGTCAAAGGCCACTGCGAATGCGACAATCCGTCTGCTGATGGAAGAAACCTGTATCCGCAGAAGTTTGGAAACTATCCTCCGGTAGGTTACTCTCACAACTCCATATTTTTGAGATCCATTATTGACTTTGAAGCATTGGTTTGAACGCTGTGTCTAATTCACGTGATAGTAATGTTTTCACGTTTTAGTGAAGCCTTGCATAGTCTTGGAGGTAGAGAAACGCAACTCTTTTCAAATTAGACAGCTGTTTTCCTCTTTCTTAGATTCGCCGCTCCTATGCCGCAAGAAATTTCCGCGCAGACCGCATGGGTGAACCCGTAAAAGAATTCAGTGCTCTTAAAATAGATGGCGTCTTGGTGCGCAAGAGCAAAACTAACGCTTTTTATTATTTCGACATAGCAGATTCACTTGATGCTGAGACATTTGAGGCTTAAGGCTTGACTTCCACCTTGCTCAAAGGCTCAAACACTTTACAAAGACTAGCTAAGTTATAAGAGGCAAGTCTAGCTAGATTTTACCTCAAATAGCGGGGCCGAAGATGCAAAGGATACATTGTTTGGTGATATCAGAGCCGGTAGTAATCTGCCCTACTAAGCGCCATCTTTGATGCCGCCAATCATCACACATCACGGAAAGTTGACAAGCAAGGTCAAGCGTGTTGATGCGATCCGGGAGCGTTCGAAGCCCTACAAGATGATACCCACCTCATTCTGAAAGGCTACTTCGACCCACCTTCCTTCCCTTGTAAGAAGCTTACTTTCTACTTCTTGCACAGTTTTTCCTGCAAAAAAAACCGCTTTAGCGCCATCCAGAACGATGTCAAAAACGTGCGTAAGTTTAACGCTAGTTTGAAAATTCGTAACTAAGGCCAGGAAAAGACTGAGAGGCTGCATCAAACATTTTCTGTAGTATAGTGCCCAGATTATCCATAGAAAAAGTTTCAGCCCTTGAGGAGCAGTGAGCTCGAAAAAATCTAGATCAGGCTCTCGCAAATTTAGATGCGATCCTAAAAAGCAAAAACTGGGATTTTTGAGCTTAAAATTTTGTAACTTACCAGAGAAGTTATAAAACAGCCTGCAATTTTTATGAGCGAAAGTAGGAGGATGGTCTCATGTCACAGCAAAATTGTAGCTCCGAAGAAATTCAGATGCGACCCACATACGACCCCCCTTTCCTGATTTTTTTTGCTACCATACATAAAATCATAAGAAAATCCACAGTCTACAAAATAGCACCAGATTTCGCACAGTAATAGCAGGGCTTATCCAAAGTACGCATAAATTGTAAGAGCCTTATAAATGGCATTACATAAAGATTCACGAAATACCAATTGTCATCGTTGATCTAGATGTGAGCTTTTGTCGAGTGTATGAGAAGGAAGCAGGAAGCTTTGTACAAAATCACAATGATTGCAACTCATGCAATAGAATTTTTTGATTCGTTTGGATATCGATGCCCACCACATCTTATATAAAGCTAAATGTCTTCGTCTTGTCTTCAGGCCAACAAATTCGGTTCCCGTATGCGACACAAATTTTTGCACGGAAAAAAAATTGCATTCTTGAACTACAAAAGATGTTTTCGACTAACAAGGGAGGGAAAGTGGGTCGAAGTGGCCTTTCAGAATGAGGTGGGTATCATCTTGTAGGGCTTCGAACGCTGATTTCAAATCTGCCTTCCTTATCTGCGGCGCGTTTATGGGCGAGGAGTTATGAGGGTTTTTAGGGGGCGGAAGCCGATACAAGTACAATCAAGGACAGCACACCGTTGTGTGCCTTTTGCTGGTCAGAAAATTTCTATGAGCACGCGTATCGTCTGTACATCATATCCCCCTTCTTTTAACTGCAAATCTCTTCAAAAAGTTTTATTACTCTGTGTTTTCGAACGTTTATGTGCACAGATGAAAGAAGAGGCAAAATGTTCAAAACGGGCATTTTTCACAATGAGAGCAACGAATGAAGACTACTTCTGAACAATCCGAATGGTCATAGTCTTCAAATTGGAAGGGAAGCAGTACTGTGCAGGCGTTTCTCCCGGATGTGCATCAAGGTAGCCGCTGTGGTACCAGGAATAAGCTGATCATTGCCGAATATGTTGACAACATTGTGACCTCTTACGTTCACCGGGCGTGACAAAATTCGTTTGAAATGTTTACCCCCACTTCAAATCACTTGCAAAGACCTTCAGAGAGAGCAGTTGCTGCCTCGACATTCTGATAAAAAAAACAGTGGGTGGTGAATGGACGCTGCCCATGCTCACACAAATTTTTTGTAGACCAGCAAAACGAGAACCACAGCAGGAGATTCGAACCTGGGAGTCTATACCTGCAAGACCACCACTCTAACCACTACACCAAACGGCACACAACGGTGTGCTGTCTCGACTGTACTTGTATCGGCTTCCGCCCCCTAAAAAACCTCATAATTCCTCGCCCAAAAACGCGCCGCAGATAAGGAAGGCAGATTTGAAATCAGCGTTCGAAGCCCCACAAGATGATACCCACCTCATTCTGAAGGCTACTTCGACCCACTTTCCTTCCCTTGTAAGAAGCTTACTTCCTACCTCTTGCACAGTTTTTCCTGCGAAAAAAACCTCTTTAGCGCCATCCAGAACGATGTCAGAAACATGCGTAAGTTTAACGCTAGTTTGAAAATTCGTAACTAAGGCCAGGAAAAGACTGAGAGGCTGCATTAAACAGGTTCTGTAGTATAGTGCCCAGATTATCCATAGAAAAAAGTTTTAGCCCTCGAGGAGCAGTGAGCTCGAAAAAATCTAGATTAGGCTCTCGCAAGTTTAGGTGCGATCCTAAAAAGCAAAAACTGGGATTTTTGAGCTTAAAATTTTGTAACTTACCAGAGAAGTTATAAAACAGCCTGCAATTTTTATGAGGGAAAGTAGGAGGATAGTCTCATGTTACAGCAAAATTGTAGCTCCGAAGAAATTTAGATGCGACCCAGATACGACCCCCTTTTCCTGATTTTTTTGCTACCATACATAAAATCATAAGAAAATCCACAGTCTACAAAATAGCACCAGATTTCGCACAGTAATAGCAGGGCTTATCCAAAGTACGTATGAATTGTAAGGGCCGTATAAATGGCATTACATAAAGATTCACGAAATATTAATTGTCATCATTAATCTAGATGTGAGCTTTTGTCGTATGAGAAGGAAGCAGGAAGCTTTGTACAAAATCACAATGATTGTAATCAAGGTCAAGCGTGTTGATGCGATCCTGGACCCTCATTTACGACCCCCCCCCCCTTGAAGGTATCCATCCGTACGACCTCCTCCCTCCCCCCCCCCCCTTCCCCCTCCCCCATCTACTCCCCTTACCTCCCCTACCCACATTTCTCGCGGTAACCTGCATAAACGAATGTTAATCTCAAAAAACACCTACGTGAGAACTTCAGTGAGGTTTCGGAAGCAGAATTTCTAGGCCAATAGATGCGCCCAGCATCTCTAGCACATATACACACCTTCAATAATGTTCGAGATTCTGCAAGTTTACTTTTGAATTTTCAGGCATACTTCAAGCCAGCAAATTCGATTCCCGTATGCGACACAAATTTTTACACGGAGAACAAAATGACATTCTTGAACTACAAAAGATGTTTTCGACTAAGAAGCTCAGTTCTTACCTCTTCCACAGTTTTTCCTGCGAAAAAACCGCTTTAGTGCCGTCCAGAACTACGTCAAAAACATGCATGAGCACGGTAGTTTGAAAATTCGTAACTAATGCCAGGAAAAGAATGAGAGGCTGCAAAGCACAGGTTCTGTAGCATAGTGCCCAGACTATTCATACAAAAAGTTTCAGCCCTTGAGGAGCAGTGAGCTCGAAAAAATTTAGATCAGGCTCTCGCAAATTTAGATGCGATCCTAAAAAGCAAAAACTGGGATTTTTGAGCTCAAAATTTTGCAACTTACCTTATAAAACAGCCTGAAATTCTTGTGTTAAAAACTAGATGGATGGCCTCGTATTACAGCAAGTTTGCAGCTAACAAGCTTCAATAGCTCCTGAGAAATTTAGATCAGGCGCAGATACGACCCCCCTTTTCCCATTTTTTGCTACCATACATGAAATCATAAGAAAATCTGCAGTTTATAAAATAACACCAGATTTCGCACAGCAGTAGCAGGGCTTTTTAGAGTACATATAAATTGTAAGGGCCGCACAAATGGCATTACAAAAAGATTTACGAATTATTGATTGTCACCGATGATCTACATGTGCGCTTTTGTCGAGTGTGCGAGTCTTCAGTGAGCCTTCGGAAGCAGGATGTCTACACCAATCGGTACATCCAACATCTTTATCACACATACATGTCTTTAGTAGCATTTGAGCTTCTGAAAGTGTTTATTTTTTGGATTTTAGTCACGCCAGCAGGGTTCGATCCCCGTTTGAGACAATATTTTGCGGGAGAAATAGCGATTCCCATGAAAAAAAGAACTAAGTCATATGTTTTCATATTATTAATCACTCGTTTTTATTTGATATATTGGTACACGGCATTCCATGAATTTATTGTTAAGAACATGTAATAATTACTTGCTATTTGATTTGCTTTCAATCGTACGGTTTTTTATCCAAACTGCCCCCTCTTACGACCCCCCCTCACCGTAGGCCCCTTTACGACCCCCCGTTGCGACAGTCGCATCATACGCTTGACCCTGATTGTAACTCATGCAATAGAATTTCTTGATTCGTCTTGATATCGATGCCCACCACATCTTATATATAAAGCTGAATGTCTGTTTGCCTGTTTGTCTGTACGTATGTTCCGAATAGAAAATTCTATTTTTTAACCGATCCGGACCAAACTTTGCACACATACACTTCGGGCCGAGCGGGTGTCATAGACCCTTTTCTTCATCATCGATATCGATTTTATCGATTTTATCGATTTTCTTTGCAAAGTTTGTGCTGGGATTTGGCACAGGGGGGGGGGGGGGTAATCGAACATGCGATTACGAATCCAATCTTGATTTTCAAAGTCTTTACTTTGATCGATTTTGTCGATTTTTTGCAAAGTTTGAGCTACGGAGCTGGGAGTTGGCACAGGGGGGTAATCGAGCATGCT